CTTGTAAACGTCATTACCGAGACTTATTATATGGCTGTGTCTCACAAGGACTGGGAACTACCGAATTCACGAATTTGATTGGCTGAAATCAATATTGAAAGCGGTCTAGATTTTCCCATCTAGACCAGCATCTAGACCGGTCTAGGAAAAAAAGGTACAAAGAATATAAAAATTGGCATATAAGACACAGCTATATAATAAACATCTTATTAACCGAGCTAGGTCGGTCTGTACGGGAGAATCTTGACCTCGGTCGCTGGTACAGACCGCACTGCGTTCGGTCTGTACTGGTGACCTCGGTCAAGATTCTCCCATACAGACCTCCCGCTCGGTTAATAAGAACTAATTAAAAGCCATGAAGATGAGTGAGTAGTTGGGGGAGGGGAGGGGGGCTGAGGTTAAATTTCTTGCTTTGTCAATTTCATGTGAGAATATCTGATTCTACCAATGGCTTTATTAAACAAGATTATTCTTTATGAAGAGAATGGAGTTGAATGTGGCTGACCTGCGAGCCTATCCACTTTTTCAAGTATCTCATCCAGTAATTCAATTATTACTTCTCCAGAGCTTTGTGAATCGGTTGATCTCTGCAGGTTAGGATCAACAGGAATTGAAGTCTCGCCTTCCATCACTCCCTCAAGTCCAACTTCATTCTCATCGTCATTATCATCCTTGTCACTGCTCCAATCAAGATTTCCTTTTTCGTTGACATCTAAGCAGTGGATTATTAACAACAAGAAAAATAATCAATAAAACACGTGCTCACATGGAATGCATATTCAATCTGTTAAAGAAACATGGGTTAACACTGGAAATGACGATATTATCTCTCTACAGACAAAGACCTGTAGATTCCTGGACGAATTCGTAAGTAAATGTGTACGCCCTCTTTAAGTAACTCTATACGCAGAGAATATCGTGGGTTTTTTTTTCAGTGTACTCGACTGCGCATTTGTATTGTAAACATAACCACATGCAAAAGATCAGTGTAGTCGCTTTATTTTTGCTAGCCCTGAGGCCATAGCCTCTCCTGTTTACTAATTGAGTGGATAAAACAGACTTGGCACTTCTGCCTCACCTGAAGGACTGTTGTCCCATACTTGTCCCGTCAAGCCTGAGTTAGCAGTTTCGATCAGATCTTGTGAATGATGAGCTGTGCTTTCCAGCGGTGGATCTTCTGTCTGAACCTCTGCATCCTTAGTGTTCCCTTCCCCCCACATTTCATGCTCGTTGAAGCCGTAAATAGGGGTCTCTGGAAACATAATAACAAATAATTTTTCGTCCTGTAAACATGTCGCACTGATACATCGAAAGAAAGAAAATTGACGTGTGCTTTGACCACATGCAGGTTTGACATTTTTTACTGCCTGTCACTTTAAGAATATCATTACAAAACCAACCTTTTTGGCCTGGCTTTAGTATCCTTACTCCACCGATCTGTGTTCTAAGCAAATCCAATAGATTATACCCAAAGTAACATGTCAGATTGTCGGTTTCTGCGGGCTCCAGTTCACATTTCTCCACGAAAGCGGAGACCTCATCGACGAGACTGAAAATGTTGGGCTTCTCGTCAACCAAAGCACTGTCATTCTTTCGACACTCCTCGAGCAAAGAAAGCGCTAACTCACACTTGACCTCGATACCTGACATGGCCCTAAACAAAACGCAAAAAAAATTACGCTGGAGGTTATATCTTTTAGAACTTCTCTCCAGAAATCACGCCCTTAGTTCGTGCTTTTACTGTTAAGCTCATACCCGAAGTGGGATGGAGTGACTTTCATCGAACGTTTAAAACAACGTGACTTTAGCAGCCAATCAGGAAAAATGGGAGATGTTACAAGGACCTAGTTGAAACTCAAAGTAAGCGACCTCAATAGACCGATTTGACTTCAAGTATTTTCAAAGCCTTTTAGTCCTAAATCTATTGCAATCCCCAGTGAAAATGATTTTCAGGGTAGTCTCCTCCATACATTACGTAGAATAATTAAGCTCTAACACAATAAATAATCAATCTTACAATTGTTCGGCAAACGTAGCGTAACAACACCTTGAACTCAGAGTTCAGGGTACATCTCAAGTCGATTGCGAAGCCTTGAGTTTTTGATCGTGCATTTTCAGTTTCTGTACCATTTTGAAACTATATCCATTAATGAAAATCATGAGATTTTTAAATTCTCTTATGATAATAAAAATTCACACTAATCATCATTCTCAACTTAGACTTCTTTTGTAATTGGCGGCCCTATATGCAAGAATTTCCGATCAAAAGCGAAGCCAAGAAGGTTCATTTTCATGCGCATAAAGGTACTGAAATTATCAAGCCATATAAAATATACCTCTCTTGATTCTCCAAGAACGCTATCTTCTGGTTCGTTTTATCGTTAACAGCACCCCTTAGCGTTGTCTCTCCCTTACTCATATTAGCATGTAACAATGCCACGTGTTTATCGATCCTATATTGCAGGTATTTTTGAGTAGCCAGTACAGCTTCCTTCGTGTTAGTTACTTTTCCTCTTGACTTCTTCACCAATTCATAGTGATCACCCAATTTTCCGGATACGCTGCTAAGGTCCTCGCGTATCGTGTTAGCAATGTCAGTGATCAGTTCGCATTCGTGACCCACATGATTTCCATAGAACTAATAAAAATAAACAAAAAAAGTGAACTTCTAGTTTGCCTACATGTAATTTATAAGATACAATAAATATATGAAGTTCATATATTTTGAACTGCGGTATTAGATACGTATGATGCACGATCCTCGCAGTAGATAGCGCTATTTATGCAATAGCGAAAATCAGACCTGAAAAAAATTTGCGCTATTGCATAAATAACGCTATCTACTGCCAGGATCGTGCATCATACGTATCTAACACCGCAGTTCAAAATATATGAACTTCATATATTTATTCTATCTCATTTATCACTTTCACGGGTTTATTACCAGCCAACTTATTGGCTTGCTCCCAGTTGGCTTGTTAGCTGAATTGGTAGAGCGCTGCACTAGTATCGCAGAGGTCAGTGGTTCTAGTCCCGTACAGGCCTGATTTTTTTCAGGTCTGATTTTCGCTATTGCATAAATACCGCTATCTACTGCGAGGATCGTACATCATACGTAACACAACATTGTTAAAAAAAATTATCATGTGAATCAGGAAATTATTTCTAAATGCATTATCTGATTCAAAGATGTTGTGATCAAAGTTGAAAACGACTACCTTAGAAATGGCATTCAGGTAGGGCTCTGCCTTTTTATCCTTCAAGTCCCTATAATATCCATATAAATTATTACTCAGTAAACAGGTAGTGAGATACTTAAACTTATGTAGAGATTGCTATCTTGATCTAACGTAAAATTCTTGTAACTAATTTACAAGGAAATGTGTAGCAGTTAGAGGGGAGAATTGACAGTCAGACTTTGGGGTTAAGTTAAAGGGTTAAAATCAAAACGAACATCTTGCAAGGATGCTGATAATATTTGCATTGATAAAGTTGTATTTCTTACCTGTCCATACTTTGATGATGCCCAAGAATACACCTATGTGAGGGAAAATAATCAAATTAATCACTGACGCATACTTCTTGCCAGCTGCCCTCACATCAATGAATCAAACTGTATCACATTGTACTCAGAATAGAGATCATGGTTAATGGTTCCTGCTTAAAATGAAAGCAGTTCTTCATTTTTTTTTTCTTACTCATTGTAAATAATTCTTAAGTTTGATAACATTAATATTTAAATTGTTGTAGATATATTTAAATTTGTAAGTCCACATCAGCTTTTTAGCTGCCTTCTTGTACTGACCTACATGAAAAATAAAGTATGTATGTATGTATGTATATAACTCTGCTAGGAATGTTCAGCCCCACTGCATACTACTCACTTTGAAATTTCAACTCTCTTGCTGAGGTGAATAAGCTAAACCTCTTATCTTGATCTTCTTNGTATGATGCACGATCCTGGCAGTAGATAGCGTTATTTATGCAATAGCGCAAATTTTTTTCAGGTCTGATTTTCGCTATTGCATAAATAGCGCTATCTACTGCGAGGATCGTGCATCATACGTATGTAATTTATAATTCTTCACAGCGATGAAGAGAACCAAAAGGACACTAAAGGAAAGTCTAAAGCAACTTGTAGACCGTTGAGAATATGAGTTGATAGAAATCAAAATATAAAAACCAGCTTGCTACTCAAATTTTCATATTTATGGATACATTTTTTAAGAAAGAGCTGAACTCTTCTTTTCTGTGTTTGGGAAAGACAGAAAGCTCGCCGTGAGCACAAAAATTCAAATTTAGTTAATCAATTCCAGGCCAAGTTGCTGGCTGTTTTGTCGAGTTTGTAAATAACGAGTGCCACCAATGCATTTCGCGGCTCCGATTTCTTTTTCCCATCGAGCGCCCAAAGAAAACGCCTGCCACGCAGCCGATCATTTTAGGATATCAGTGAACGAGAGAATTTCCTACGAAACCATATGAGTTTTACCATAAGCTTCTGATTTTACATGACTTCCAAGAATTGGGAAGAACTGGAATATCGTAGCCTGGATAAGATTTTGACATCTTGGAAAGACAACACGCTGTTAAGAAATTTTACCTGGCAGTAAACGCAGATGAGACATTTATCTGTGTGACAATAAACTTTCAGAGCTTCGTTGTGTTCCGAACAAAGATACTTCTTGCTTGCTACCCTAGAGACTTTTCTCGGAAAAAAACAATAAGTAAATATTACATGAGCAAACAACAACCGAGACAAAAATCAATGAGACCATAATACTGAGGATCCCAACACCTACTTTTGGGTCTTTGCACGCGCCCCTGAAGTATATAATCTTCTAACCTGAGTTCCTATGGAAAAAGCAGAGCTTCAATCAAAGCTTTTCGTGACTGATGACAAACAAAAATTAAAATGACAATCGACATAAAAATCAAATACTTTCTGTATTCATTTTTTTTTGTAAACAGAGCTTAAAAGTTAAGAACAAAAAAGTCAACAGACGGTTGAGGATAGCTAACAAGGGGATACGCCATCGGCGTTACTGATCACTTCGCGACTAGTCAACTCAGCGACATTACTAGCCAGCTTACCTTCGTCAGCTCGCCGACAACTTCGTCAAATTGCCGACAATAATATTTGTTACTCGATTTGGAATTTTGGTAGGATAGATAAAACTATTAATTTTAATCGACATCCTCAAGATAAGCTATGATAGCTTTTACGTTATTTCATCAAATTATTTCATCAAAGGTCATTCGACTCATCGTGAAGATCTTGAAAATAAGATACAATCTGATTCCCGAATGGTCAGTTTCAAGCACCATTTTAAGTGAAATTAAGAGGGAGACACACTATCACTCTATTTCAATGACTTCTTAAGCCGGAGGAGTCGGTCAGTTACTGCAAAATGGTGGAACCATTGTAACACTGAGTTAAGACCACGTTCCAGAGCAGCATCAAACAATCGGAAAAGTCCATTTTTACCCTTTATGATACTTAACTTCATTTGCTCATTAGTAAAGCCTCAGAAATTAAAGCGTTTTCAGTGAAGACGCCCATACCACTTCTTCAAGTTATGAGTCAACAATAATAAACCTGTTCTTGACCTTTTTTCCCGCTAACTTGAAATATCTGAATCAAATGAATGACGATAAATCATGCGATCATTTTTTTCAGTCTGTTGCTCAGCTTTTTTTTCCAACAAATTGTGTTCAAGATTTCATAAGAATAGCATTCAATATTGTGTCTTTGTAACTCACCTCTAAGCTCTTTTTATCATAATTTGACATCACAGTGATGCATTGATGTTTGACGCTGATTGTAGTTGTGATGCCATTCTTGACCATACTGTCAGTTCCTTGAACAACCTGAAAACAACATTACTTTTGACCTTTTTGGAAATCAAGAAGCATTACTGACCATTATAGTACATCATCAGTCAGGTTCTTTTATGTATCTTTCTGGACTGAGATGATGGCATATCCAGCTATCTCAACCTAACTTACTTAGTCAAAGAATCGCCAGATGACAGTGCTAAATACAATTGACACTGAATAATTGTTATAGTTTTCTTTGTTTTGACCATCACAAGATGTGTTTGTGACTCTTTTGCTGTGAAAACTCTCTGAAAATGCTTTCTTGTAACAACAAAAGTTTGTCCCGAGATTGCAAAGAATGAAAAGCATTTGGATAGTTAATCAAAAGCAGTGTTTACTTCCTCTTGCCTGCTCCCAGAATCAGCCCCAAGACACTTACACAGAATTTAACAGTTGTCCCACTGTTACTTGATTTTTCTGTGAAACAAAGTGCAACAGAAACCAAAGAGAAAACAATTATAAGTACTGAACAGCATTTCATACATTGATTGAAACACGTGTAAGTAGAGAAGGGGGGTGAAGATCAGGTCTAAGGAAGCAAAACATGACAGGAAAAACTTAAAGGTCGGCACACACGAGGGGACTAGTCCCTGCGACTAGTCCCAGCGACCAGTTTCATGTGACTAGTCCCTTCGTGTGAACTACACATTTCTGTGGTCGCAAGGACCAAAATTTGGTCCCTGTGACCAGTCGCAAGGACTTGTCGCATGAAACTAATGTTTGTCTCTTCGTGCGAACTGTTTGTGCGACCAGTCCCTGCGACTAAACGGTAAATAAGCCAATCACGGGTCAGTATGATTTGTAAACATTGCAGTTTCTATGAATTTTCCCTGAATTCTAGATTTCTACAACTGAAGTTCTGAATAAAAAACTATTTCTAGTTTTGTAAACATATACAGATGTCTTGGAGCCGTTTTGATGGACTTTTTACCCTATTTGACTGTGTCTGTTAAAAATAAAAAAAAAAACAAAAACGGAACACGTAAAAGCATGAATAATCCGACAGAATAAGTGTAGTTCATTTGCGTTGATGTTTAATAGTGCTACAGTGAAAAGTTACCAAATTTTCATTGTTTTCGTGTGACGCCCCAGACTAAGAAACATCTTTTGCCTCTTAATTTTCCTATGTTCTTGTGCAATTGAGTGCCCTCGTGTGAACGCCTTAAGGGACTAGTCCCTGCTACCGGTCCCCTCGTATAAATCCTTCAAAGACTTGTCGCCGGGACTAGTCGCACGAACTAGTCGCAGGGAATAGTCGCAGGGAATAGTCCCCTCGTGTGTGCCGACCTTAAGGGAGAGCTTAACTTCTTATCGTGTGGTCCCAAGTTGTTCTTGGTTGCCCTGAGTTTAACTCCTTTTTTCCCTTCATTGCATCACTTTCCCAGCCAGAGAGAAAGCTAATTTAAATAATGCAAGAACCAATCAGATTTCAAGGCTTGTTTGAAGTAACCAACCCAATTGCTGGAAAATTAGGGAAAGACAATTTTTGCAACTTTTCACAAATTAGCTCAGTACTCAGGATCAATAAAAAAAATCCTGTATTTGAGAGACTGAATTGACTTTGTTTTTTCAAAATGGATGTAATTAAGTAGTAATTGAACTGTGTGTCATTTGGTCTGAAATCGTACTGTCTTGTGATTTCAAATCATGCATATGATTTCAGACCAAACTTCACTCCACATAATTCAAATACCATAAGATTATTAATCCTAAAATGTTCAACTGTGAAGGAAGAATGATTAACCTTGAAAATCCAGTTCAGTTAAAGCATCAGTCTGCACTTGGCCAAACAGTGAACTCCCTTCCATTGTTGCTCCAAATCCTGGACTTGCAATACTTGTTCCAAATGGGGTGAAAAAACCTTAGTCAAGCAAGGAAAGACAAAACAACAGACTGAGGTGGCACATCAACTAAGACAAGAATGAGAGGAGAGAGGAAATTACAGCAGCTCATTTAATTTTTCTTTTTTTCATCTCATATATATGACTTCAGCAGTATGGATTTGAACAATTAATTTCATTTGATGATATCAGTAAATTTCTCTATTATTGTACATAAAAATGTGCTCTTCTCTGCTTTCATTTTCAAACCAATTAACCAAACATTTTTGACTTTGGGGCTGACAGAATTAAATTGATTCCCTTGAAAATTAGCCCACAGTAATGATGAGTGAAGAAACAACTTGTGTTGCCGAATTTTCATTTTTTGAAATATTTTTTAAGTTATGATGAAGAGTGCTAAGATCTGCACTAAAAATTACATACTTGAACATGAAAAGAATTTTACTTTTGAAAGAAGACATCAATCAACAATTGACTGCACAGTTTTTTTAGCACAATATGTGCTGATTGACTTCCAAAGAAGTATTTGCCGAAACAATAAAACACAAGCACATAAAAATCCATCAATGACACATGAATAATTTTTTCTCTGCTCAGTTATCATATCTATGAATTTCAGAAAAATAAAAAAGACAAACAAGTTAATTATAAAATTCCGTAGTTTGTAAGCAGTAAAATGATATTAGTTTTATAGGTATTGGCTTCTAGAAAGCACTCGCTTCAACAGTAATTTTCCGTGACCCACGCATGAAAGTATCTTATTATCTAAATTTTACTCTTGAATTAAAAATAAAATGAGGAAAGCTGGCACCCCATTTCCATGATTAGAACTCTAGTTGAATTTCAGCCTCTGGGCGACTGTTTACCAACCCCTCCCCTCCCCTAACCCAACAACAGTTAACTGAGGACAAGTAAGGGTTAATTTTGGGTTAGGTGAGGGGTAAGTGTGCCGTTGCTAAGATACTGTCATTGATCTGCAACTTTTCTCAACTGACTTTCATTCATAGCAAAACTGAGTAAATCCTTGTTTGGTCTTGGTCTCCACTTTTCAAATAAAAGTCGCACATCTTAGGGATTCTACGATTTACTATTTGTCAATCCAAATCAATGGTAATTTTTTCTTCCCCTTATTTATTCAACTTATTTTTGTACTAATACAATCAGACTTTTGACACATAAAAATTTTTACTCACCCTGAGTATTTTGTAGCTGTCCAAAAGAACTTGCAGAGGTTGTTTGGCCAAACAAACCCGTACCTATAAATGTACAACAGTTTCTTTAGTAATGCACAATACCGTTTCTCAAGAAACTAATACTTCCAGTGCCTCAATATACAAAACCCTGGAATTGACTGGAACTCCCAGAAACCTTACTATTGCTATTATCTGTAGTGCCGAATAAAATGATAGTAACTGAAAACATTACAAGTACTGAACTTTTGAATAGGACTACCAAAATTAGACTTTTGAAATATGAAAATTTTTATGCACTCTGAATACTTGGTGGCTCTCCAATAAGACTTGTGGAAGCACCTGTCAAGCCCTGAGTCCCAAAAGGGCTAGTCACTGCTGCCATTATTAAACTTCAAATAAACACTTTGTACTTTTAAGTTAAGGGGAGGGGGAGGGGATAGGAGAAATTAAATATGAAAATTTTTACTCACTTTGGCCATTTAGTACTGGCTGTCCAAAAAGACTTGTGGATGGTGTTCCGCCTAGCAAGCCCGTACCTATAAATGTACCACAGTTTCTTTAGCAATGCACAATGTAATACTGTTTCTCAAGTAAATGAAAACATTACAAGCATTCAAATTTTTAGTAGCACTAACAAAATAAGACTTTTTAAATATAAAAAAATTTTACTCACTCTGAGTATTTGGTGGCTCTCCAAAAGGACTTGTGGAGGATGTTCTGCCAAACAAGCTGGCACCTGTCAAGCCCTGAGTCCCAAAAGGGCTAGTCACTTCTACCATCATTAAACTTCAAATAAATGTTTTGTACTTTTTAAGTTAAGGGGGAGGAGAAAGGAGAAATGAAATATGAAAATTTTTACTCACTTTGACCAGTTAGTACTGGCTGTCCAAAGAGACTTGTGGATGGTTTTACGCCAAGCAAGCCTGTATCTATAAATATACAACGGTTTCTTTAGAAATGCAAAATGTAATACTATTTCTCAAGAAACTAATACTTCCAATACCTAAATATATAAAGCCCTGAAATTGACTGGAACTCCCAAAAAACCTTTGCTAGTGATATTATCCATAGCACAGAATATAATAATAGTTACTGTAACTGAAAACAATACAAGTATTTAAATTTTGAGTAGCACTAACAAAATAAGACTTTTGAAATATGAAAAATTTTACTCACTCTGAGTATTTGGTGGCTGTCCAAAGCCAAATGGAGTGGATGTGCTAAACAGGCCACCTGTTTGAGGGCTTTGAGCTCCACGGAAATTGCAGCCCAGACTACTGCCACTATTTGAAAATGCTATGAGAAATTCATGTCAACCATTATGAAACCTAATAGAGATGTTTTGCACTGTTTAAGTTAGAAGGAGAAGCGGTGGGGGTAATGAATTAACAACTTCTTCCTCAGAAGTCTGGGCGAGGAGTTTTCTTGTCACCCCTAACACAATAAGTTCTGACCCAAAGCTCCGGCTATTCTTTGACATCTTCTAAGATCTATTATAGCTGTACAGACCCACAGCAACATGGGATCCATTTGTGGCGAATGATAAAAAAGAAAAATGTTGTTAATGGTGAAGTCATCTGTTCACCTGCCCTCAAGCAGATCACGAGTAAGAACCAAAAAATTGGTGACAGGTGTGTCTTTCGAGCCCGGAAGTAAAAGAGCGCAAGTTAAATTAGCGCTCCAAATATCTACAGAGCAACACAAAGAAAGGAAATTTGTTCAAGGGTCTCCTAGTAATTTCAAATTACTCATTAACTTCGGATGTCACCTTCCAATCGAAGGAAAAGGTATAACATACCGAGGAAAGCTTCGTAGTTTGTTTTTGCTAAATAAACACAAGCCGAGCGTTCCATTATATTCAGTTAATTTATAGGATAGTGGCTTGAAAGTCGAAAGAGGACTTGTCGCGTGGCAAGTTTTCTTCTTACACCCTCATGAACTTTGATTTCAAGCACCTTAGAAATTGTTCCAAACTGATCCATACGCAGGTGTTAAATCTAAAGGCCTTTGTATTCAAAATCATGGTTCCACAATAATAATGCTTAGAGTTTTACAAGCCTAATGTTATTTAGTGTTTTGGGGCTATTTTTGGTAAGCCTAATATAGGTAAATATCCGTGCATAACTCGACACTTACTTGTTCCTGTTCCAAAGCTAGAGCTTGTGCAAGTAGTAGTAGGAGTATTTTTCGAAGATCTAGACATGCTTGAACGATCTGTCGAAAAACCGAGATTACAATATCATAATATCTCGTTTATCAAGCTAGCCTGAGCTACCTTGCTGTCGCGCTTGTCAGTTGACCAAGATTAAACGAAGAAGCAACACTAGACCAATTTTCAGGTGAAGATCAGCTTACCTTCTTTTCGACGCCTACCCTTCTTCATTAGCAAATATTCATGCTGTTAATCGAGATTAGATATACATCACCACCTCAAGACCCTTATATTATGATTGGACGGGTGCTAACTTCGAGTCGGGAAGGCTGGGTCGGGTGCGCAATTGAATTCAAAAACAAAAACAAAAAAACAGACAGTCTGAGCACAGGAAGCCCAATTTAAGGTCCCTCTTTGGGTCTTTATGCATCTGCATGTGTTGTTACACTGCGCACTGGGCGAAATTTCAAGATTTGTATGGCAATAAACAGTGTGAAAATCAAAGGTTTTCTTTCATGGTAGAACACGTCGAAAAATCTGAAGGAAAAAAAACATTTAAACAGCTAATTTGCTATCGTTTTCCTTTATTATACAGTGTTCCCCTACAGACTATATTTATTTATTACAATGAAATTTATTTACAAAGAATTTCACTCAAACGTTACAATGGTATAACTGATGACAAAGGAAAATCTACCTTTTAGGGACAAAATCTGTGTACTCTGTCCACACCTTCTTGAAGACTACTACAAATAATCTTGCCTTATATTTTTGAAGAGAAAATTAACCCACTAGGTAACACATTAGACAAGCCAAGCCAAGCCACATCTTATGCAGCAGCGTTTTAAAAAGAACATAATCTAAATAAGCTCTGGAACACAAACTTAAGACACATACAAAAATGAGCAATCTTGCCTTGCTTCATGTGTTTACAGTGCTCAAAGAAAGCAGAGATAACATTAAATTAAATTTTTATCTCAAGGGGTATAAAAATATAACATAATTTAAATGAAAAGAAAACTTTGGCAATCATATTAACAGTGTTAGAGAAACCACAGAACATGTTTGTGGTTCTTGAGAGATATACAGCAAACTGTTTGTCCAGTTACCATCTAACTTAATGCGGTATCTGAGCAAAACCAATCTCAAGATTACCCCTTAAAAAATTACCACTACATGATACTGAGCAACTGTACTCCTACCCCCCACCCTCACCCAGCAAGAGACAAGTTAGGTTAGGGGAGGGGTAGGTGTGCAGTTGCTCAGATGCTAACAGTGATCCACAAATTTTTTTTGTCTTAGTGAAATGCTTTGATACTTGATGCAAGCAAATAATTCCAAGAGTTGAAGTGGCAAGCCTTAGGACCCCTCAGTATCTGCTTCATCAGTTTGTGTTTGACTGACCAGTTCTGTGTCACACAGTTCACACTTTGTCTTACCGGGCTCATTAACCAAGGTGCACATGGGGCACACATTGCGCCCCTCTTGAGAATCTACCTCTCGCTGGGTGTCACACCCCAGACACACCAGCACCTGTGGTCCATTTATCATGGTACACTGCTTGCATTCCCAGGGGGGTCCTTCCTCTTTCTTAGGCTTTTTTGTCACTACCCTACCGCTTCTTGGTCGTTCTCTACCCCGGGTTGTAAGTAGGACCGACACAAATCGATGCCCACTTGGACTCTTCTGGCATGTGTGTGACAAGGATGCACAAGTTGCACAAAATTGACGCCGACAGTGTAAGCATTTTTTGGATGCATGTGCTGTAGGGTTCTGACATTTGGCAGAAGAGCAATGAGTTCTGTCCCTAGTTGCATACTGCTGACTGTCCAGACTCCTGAGCCCATCTGTAGACACTAGTCTATGTCCAGGAAGAAGTAAGGTACTTTCTAGGCTGAGGGGTCCCCCCTGATTTGTTGGGGGCGTTAAACTCCATTCGTCACTTGAGGTTGACCTTCTTGCATTGACAGTATCAACACCTGAAAATGAAAAAACCAGTAGCACTTAGGCACCAGCAATTCATTCGATGGGGAGGATAACAGATTATCATGCAGGGAAAACAAGGCAGGGGACTCTTAAATTCATCCACTTGTGTAGTTGACATGAACATTTAATATAAAGAGTGAATGAGTGGGGGGGGGGGAACAACAAAAAAAATGCCTAAGAAAAGGGTAAGGGAATTGTGAACATTGTCACTTCATCTGCACTGGACTCCTCCACTTCTAAATAGGAACAGATAGAGGTGATGCAAAAGCACAAGTAGGGGACAGTAACCATCTAATCATTAGGAACACTGGTGGCAAGATAAAGAAATACCTTCTGAGCTTGTTGTATCAGTATTTACTCCCATTCCTTCACCTGTCAAGGAAACAACGTCACCTATATGCAAAGGCAGGGAAGTAATCGACAACTTGATCAGCCCTTTTACAAAATATGGTGGCACAATCATAAAATACTTGGTGCCCTTTTTTCTGAAGCAAATTCTCTCTGGCTCATGTTTCAGAGCACCTCAAAGATAACGCTTGAGTTTTTGAGATCAGTATTTGCAAGCTGACGTAATGTCATCCTTATTCCCTCTTGGTTTCTCATACCCTCTTCAACTGGTGTTTTTCTATTGCAAAGAGTGTTGTGAGTCTTGTTCTGAGAGAACTCACCCAACAGCATAAGCATTGTGACTTTTGAGGGTGAAGTGGAGGTAAAAAAAAGTAAACAAAATAACAAGACAATAACATGAGTGCATGCAATGTAACAGAACTGATTAGCTTGGAATTACTTGATACAGGGCAATTACAGGACCCATAACAAATATGATAACCTAAAATTTTTCTGTTGGATTAAGTGCCTCAAAACATGAATCAAAATATTGTGAATAGCTATTGCAAAGTATATGTTCTGCTTCGATATTGAACTTGTTTTCAGACAATGGATAAAAAGAGAGGGGAAGACTGAGACAATGATAATCATGAGGCATCAGTAAGACATATCGACTGACCACTAGGACTGAGAAGTTGTAGTCTTTCAATTTCATCCTGTAATTCATCCAGCAAGCTTGTTTGTCTCTCTTCTGAATTTCTTGAATCTCTCAGTTCTTGACTGTGGCTGCTAGGCAAAGTCTCCCCACCTACTGCTCCCTCAAGTTCAGTATCACTCTCTATTTCCTCTGCATCTGAATGGTCTGATGTTCCACCTAGAAGGTTACCAGTAATTAAAATACCTAATGATATGTCCTCATTATCCTTTTTAAGAAATGCTCACATTGTGCAGCTTTCAAAAGCCTCAGAAACAGTTTTCCAGCTTTATTGGCTTTGGTAATCCAACACTATCCAACAATTTTCAGGTCCTCTGTTTTAATATTTTTGAGATTTTGAGATAGAATAAATAATTGCCATGATGAGACTTCCTTCATCTTAATCAAAAGGCTTCCAAGATTTTAAGATCATATCACCAGTTTACAACACTTTTCCAATGCCCCAGATCAAGACCTATCTCAAGGAAAGACTTCTGTCGTTACTTCAGGAGGGGGGCATTGGGGCCTCTGGAAAACCGCAAAACCAGAGAAAAAAACCTTCAAAACCGAAAAACCGACGAAAAAAGGCAGCAACACCAAAAACCACATGCAAACCTGACAAAACTGCTACATTTTCACCTTTAAAGGGGTCAAAAAGGAACAACTGGAAACCACATCAGAGTTTTTGTGAAAACCGAAAACCAAATCCAAAAACACGTAAAATCCACAAACGCTCTGAATATCAAAACTGAAAAACCGAACCTTTTTGGCCCAAAACCCAAAAAACCAATCCAAAAAAACAGTCAAAACCGCAAAACCAAAAATCCCAAAGCCCCCCTCCTTCAGTGACAACTGCATGTCTGCACCATGATGATCTAGTTTACACTTACCCAACTCATTTATACCTGACTCAGAGCTACTGTGGTCAGGACTTTCTGGTTGAAACGCAGGTAACACAACAGCTGGACTTTGATCCCATCTTGGTTCTGTCAAACGTGTCTGAACAATTTCCTCCAATCCTTGCAATAGGCTTTGAAACAGAGGGTTGTCATCATTTTCTTGAAGATCTTCTGTCTGTGTCTCTGCATCATACATTTCCTTTTTCCCTGACAATTCATGTTTGTTCAGCCCGGCCAGAGGTTCCTCTGTGAAATACAAGTTACAAATATGTTGCTCATTAAAGTCCTGCTGTCAAAATGGCAAAACACTTGAAATTGAAGTTTCTTTTTGCATTTAATTGTTGACTGGGATGAGGTTGTGGTCCATAAAAATGCCATAAAAAGCCAGTAGCCTGCAAACAGGTTCTTATTAATCCTATGGCATGGGTGACATTGGGCCTGTGAGATTTGAGACAGTGAGTATGAAGACTTTCATTTTTATGTGAGAACTCTTGCTTGCTGGCTCAAAATATCTGCACATCAGCCCTTGTGTTGCAGTGTTAAAAATGGCCTGCTTTCCAGATGAGACACCATTAAATAGCAGTCTTGACTATTAAGTTAGGGTCCATTTAAATGCACAAAAAAAAAGGAAAAATAGTTTCCAAATTATAGAATTCCTGAAGACCCACAACAAACCTTTCTGGCCTGGCTTCAGCACTCTGATTTCACCGATCTGTGTTTCCAGAATGCAAGTGATATCATACTCAAAGTAATACGTTAAATTGCTTGTTTCCTTTGGCTCCAATACAATCTTCTCCATTAGATCATGTACTTCATCCATTAGTCTATAGATACGGTGCTTCTCATCCACCAAAGCACTGTCATTATTCTGGCATTTCTGGATCAGAGAATATGCTGTTTCACACTTATTCACAATTTCTGTCATCATGCTGCATGAGAAAAGAACATAACAACCGTTGCTGCATTGTACTAGCTTTCACATCACCATAATGTTGATCCAGAAGTCAATCTTATAAATTATCAGAACTAAAATAAATCCAAAAACCCAAAACCATAAGTGGGAGAGACAACCTATTTTTCAGTATAACAGAATTATCAAAGTCTTTAACTCCCAGGATCTGATTGTTCATTCTTGCCTCTAGCTGCTCAACATTTCCTTTCTTAACAGTTACTTAACAAATAGCAAACACCACAGCATACACTATTGAGTTATGGATCCACATGGGAGGTTGTTAAGCACAAAAGAAGCGCGAGAGTCACATGAGGTGATATCCAAGAGTGACTCGGGCTGATAGGTCAGAACAAACAAGTGCACAGAAACTAGTCTTTACATTGCTCTTATCAGCAGTGTACACCAATGGGCAAATGCTGGACACTGAGCTAACTGATCACAGTGCACACTTTACTTTGGTAATGTTATAGAAGAATTTGGTGTTACATCAAGATAATAACCTCTACTTGATAAGTTTGAATATTCTTCTTGCCCATTTGCTGAATAATGTATAGATATTACTTGGAGAAGTTACATATTAATCACTTCGGGGAGTTAAAGGGATAAAAAATATAAACACTACCAAATCATTACCTCTCTTGTTCATCCAAAGGTTTGATCTTCTGTTTTGTCCTGTCATCAACATCACACTTTAACACAGTTTCCCGTCTGCTCATGCAAGCTCGCAACACCCCCATATGTTTCATAATCCTGTCACGCAAATACAGTTGAGTGTTCAGTATGGCTTCCCTTGCATCAATCACATTTCTTCTAGCTTTCTTAACTGTGTCATAGTGATCGCCCAATTTCTTAGACAAGATGCGAAGTTCTTCACGAGTTGTTGTGGCAATGCTGGTGGCAAGTTCACAATTGTGTCCCATGTGCTTGCCATACACCTAAGTGGAACAAGCATTTATTATGTCAACAATCTGATATACCAGGGTTGTGGTCTAGCAGCGCCCAGTGGCCCCTGGCTCTTGGGCGACTCAGGAATCTTAGTTGTTTCATAAGAAGCATATGCTGGGCACCCTGGATTTTACAGTTTCAGAGCACTGGGCTCCCTTCAATTTTTCTTAGAGCACAGCCTTGTATACACCCCCTCTAAGTCAAATCCTCCTTTCTATCACACTCCTATTTAAACATTCAATATCAGGGGTTTCATTAAGGGCCAGGTACCGGGCAAATTGAACGGTTGTGAAGACGGTTTTGCCCACCTGATTTGAGAGTCATGAGGAAAATGTATCTTATAAAGAAGTTCAGTTCAAAGAGTTTTGCCCGCCTGTGAAAACCAGTTACCCTCCTGCAGAAAACATTAATGAAACTCCTGCAATATGCCTCTCTTCTCCAATTCACCCTTTCCCTCCTTCCTCTTCCCTTACATATTAAAACTAATATAATTGGGATGACTTTCATTCTAGACAGTCACCTACACCCTCAACTACATCTCAAGTTCAAATAATTGTCAAAATTTTTCCCAGATCCGAGTGTTTATATTAGACTATGCAAACAAATAAGGTCCCTTACAGATTTTATAGATTAAATGTTCCTCAAAAATGTCCACAAATTCAAAACAGGCATGCAGCAAAGTGTTGAATATGTTACATTATACCCACAGGCATTACCTTTCATACATGTAGAGATGACACTACACCTACAGTCAACTATTCAGCCACATACATAATATGACAAGTACTGGATTTGGCTTGATAATAAACAATTACTGGATGAGGTTTTTGTGATGTCCGGAATAATCAAGGTCGAGGTAAGTGTTATCAGCCGAAGCCAAAGGCTGAGGCTGATGACACTAATCGAGACCTTGATTATTCCGGATATCACAAAAACCGAATCCAATAATTGTTTTATTTTACATTCTTTTAGTATTTTCTGAATCTTTATCTTCAAGTAATTTCTCAATTTCTCCCTGGGTTGATGAAGCGAATTGAGAAGCCATTCTTACTTCACTGTCTGTGAACTTGACATTGCTGCACCAGAAATCATGCATTGCGCGTGCAACCTACAGATTATTCACTAATCTGTAGGTTCAGATTAGTGAATAATCTGTAGGTTACGCTGTTTCCCAGAATATTAACTGTAGGCGTTTAGCCAATGAGAAGACTGATGGTGACTATAATGTATAATAACAAGAGTTACAAAGGCCTTGGTTTGTGTTACCCACCTCAGTCCCTATTATTGGGCAGATAGCACAGTACAGTACAGTACAGTACAGTATCTATACTAAATCTCCCCTATGTGGCTCTTCTGATTTAACTTACAGCACTTTGCAGGGGACTTTGGCCCCCAATATCAGAATCAAGGCCAGATCACAACACAGGGAGCTACCTTCCCTACTCTTTGCAATAAGTGTGTGAGTTCTTTAATGTGCTATGCTAACTAGAACAGAGAAGATGCAAGAGACTAGAATGCCTAACCATTTGCAGATGTCATAGCAAAGGCAGCACATTCTCCTCCGTTATTTTAAGACCCTGAATGTTGGTCTGGTCTGGGGCTTGAACCCTCGACCTCACTCACAGCAGTCAGGCACTTTACAATATGAGCTAATCAACTTTTGCCCAGTAGCTTTCTTATTTTCAACCTCATCCATTGATTCCTATAATTCATCATTCATACCTGACAATAAATGCAGATAAGACAATTATCCGTATGACAGTAGACCTTCAAAGCTTCATCATGTTCTGGACAAAGATATTTATTTCTCTCCTTCTCCTTTTGGATTCCATCAGTTTGAACTTCTTCTTTGCCCTCAAGAATCTCAAGCACTCCAAAGTTTTTCGGTAGGTTTCTCACAGATTCAAAAGTCCTTGGAAACAGTGTTGTCTCTATTTTACATGTTGGACAACAGATTGTACCAGGATTTCGGGCTTGGAAAGCTAACTTGTTCAAACATCCTTTGAAGGTAAAGGAGAAAAAAATATGTAGCATCTGTTAACTTGAACACCGAATATCTCAAATTTGTTCTTAAGTGTATTTCTTGCAATACTGTGTGAGTATTTGTGAGAATTACGAGTACTAAAGTGCATTAAGTTACTTGTACTGTGTACTTATTGCCCTCCCTTATTTTAAGGACGACAGTTACAGTAAAAAATTTAAAGCTTATAGAGCAATCCTTTTACCTGTTGAATTCTCAAGAATTCCAAGGGATTACAAAGGGTAATGGGAGGTACTACATGCAGTAAACTTTGTTGGGAAAGAGTTCCATATAACCCCATACATCAATTATGCATTCATTTATTAAAGACTAAATATTAAAGATTTCTTTGCAACACTCTACGCATAATTAATGCATGGGGTTATATGGAACTCTTGCCGTAAAGATTAGTTTAGATCTACATTACGCTCGTAAAATTTCACTGGTAACACAGGAGAATCTTTCTACGAAATCTCTTTCTCGAAAAGATGTTATCAGATGGTCAAATACCTGTACAGTATGTGTGTCCGCAGGAAAGATTTCTGGGAACGAACTGCACTTCATCTGACTTGAAATCGTTGTAACACACAGAGCAGCTTAGTCCCCGCAGTTCAGCCATAGAAATTTCGACAAAAACGGATGTAAATAGAGAAAGCCGAGTTTTGGCGCCGGTAATTACACAATGCTAGCATTCCCAACGAAGTACGGGTTTGAAAGCGACAGACAACACACAGAAGCGCATTCTGTTGTGACATTTCTCAGAAACATTTGATGTTTGGGTTGATTTGCGCCCATAAGCTGCTGGTCAGTGGCGATACGAGTAAATCAACATGGCGGATTGATTTGAGTGGAAAGCATGCAGTTAGACGAGGAAGATATCGAAAATCAAAAGCCTCAGAAACCTTGTAGCGGGCTAAGAAAGGAGCTGAAGGAATGCGTTTTAGCAAGTGATTGTGTGAAAAAGGTAAAATTCGTTATAAATGTATTGCATTTGTAGCCAGCCCACATTCCATTAATGAAGTAACTTCAGAAGCTGAGTTACTACCGATTGCTGCGTTCGAATGTAATCATGCAATCCAGAGTATATTTTCTGCTTCTTTCATCGATTCATGAATATTATTAGGTCTAAACGAAATTTCATAGTTACATAACTGTGTAAATATTCAGCAGTCTGGAGTACTAGATTGGAAGTAGCCAAAGAGAAATAGATGGATAATTATTCAGACCTGAGTGAGTAGATAATTCCTCTTGAAACTAGGATAGGATAAAAGGAAAATGATTTATTGATACCCCTCTTAATTGATTAATTGATTACTTGGTTAACTGATCGACTTGATTAATTAATTACTGGATTTATAGACTGACTGAATTGATGACTGACTGACTGACAGACCAATAAAAAAATGACTGACAGACTGACCAAAAGACTGACTGAAAACAGAATGACTGACTGACTAACTGAAGACAGAATGAATGATTGACCGAAAATGGAATGACTGACGTACTGAAAATGGAATGACAGACGGACTGACTGGTTGAAAACAGAATGACTGACTGTCTTATTGAAAACAGAATGACTTATTGACTTACTGACTGACTGAAAACCTGACTCACTGAAAACAGAATGACTGACTGACTGACTGGATGAAAACAGAATGACTGACTGTCTTATTGAAAACAGAATGACTTATTGACTTATTAAAAACAGAATGACTGACTGACTGACTG